TGAGAGGAAAGTGTTCTTGGTGCTGACTTGGGGAATCCTTTAATCAATTTGTGTTTAAATGCAAATGAGGGTACAGGAAGTAAGTGTATGGCATGGGATGGAAATGATGTGAACTGAGTTTTCTTAGGTCCTTTGCTATTTCCAGCAGGTTCTTGCATCAGTGGCTTTCTCAGTAAATAAGGACCTTTGCTAAGTAATGCCACAGAAATTGGCACAGGTTAGCTGAGAGCTGGGTTGTTTTAGGAGGATGGTAGCATCCATTCCTTTCTCCACCCCTAGTTCAATCAAAGATCTGTGTTCAGTTATCTATCTTTCTCTGTTTGACATATGCTTTAAAGAAGGGTTGCCCCAGGAGCAAGGAACCAGCCATACTTCTTGCCAATAATTTCTTTATACATGAGTGTGTGACAGGATTCTAGCCAATGAATCAAAAAAAGGTAACCTGTTGCAAAACTCCTGGGAGAGGTTTCCTTGATCCTAAGAGAGAAGGAGGAAATAGATTACAGAATCCCAGCTTCTTTATTTACTATCTGTGTGCCCCTGGAGAAACCAACTCTTCAGTCTCAGTATCTCCCCACGTAGTTATGAGGAATTAATATGATACATTGGTAGAAGTACCTACTATGTCAGGCACGTATAATGAAACGTATTAGGTGTCCTTCCTGAAATGATTGTGAAGAACTGTTAGGAGTACAGTAGTCCCCCCTTATTCGTGGGGGATAAGTTCCAACACCCCCAGTGGATGTCTAAAACTGGACAGTACTGAACCCTATATACTATAACTTATATTACATTATACTGTGTTTTTTCCTATACATACAAATCTATGATAGACTTTAATTTGTAAATTAGGTAGAGTGAGAGATTAACAATAAATAATATAAAAAAGAACAATAATAATATTGTAATAACAGTTATGTGAGTGTGGTCTCTCTCTCTCTCTCAGAATATCTTATGGTATTATACTGTACTCACCTGTTTTGGGACTGTGTTTGACCACTGCTAACAGAAACCATGGAAAGTGAAACCGTGAATAAAAGGGGACTACGGTACTTGTAAGGGTCTTATACTCAGAAATAATGGAAACTGATTCATCTAACTAAACGCCTATCCTGCTCCTTCACTCTCCACAACTTGAGCAGAATGAGTAGAAGAAGATATGGACAAAGGAGGTAAGTTATGGAGTGAGGAACTTGTATTAATTCACCGCACAGCTGAGTTTTATTTCTGACTCTGGGACTGACACATATGAGATTGCTTATTAAATGCTTATCTTATTATTATATAAACAGAAAAGAATGGTTTCACCATTCCTTGGAGGGTAGGGACCTCCAGCATGAGGCACAGGAGATGCCACACATTCAAATAATATTTGATGAAGCACTCACAACCACAGAATTAAGTTCTTGCCTCACAGGCAATGAATAAAACATACAATCTTCCTCATGTGTTGTTCCACATTCAAACTGTTATGCCTGTCTTGTGATTTTTCTATCCTCCCTTTGTGCACAAAAAAGCAGTTCTCACAGAGAAAAATATAGAGCCCTCAGAATGACAGCTGTGATGTCAAGTCTTACTGCACTTCTGAAATCCTGGAGAAGAGAAGAACTGGACAGGGAGGGAGTAGCAGCTGCCCTCAAGGAGTTGAAGGGCTGTCCTGTGAGAGAAAGGCTTGCTCATGCTATGGACTCCAAAGGGCAGAACCAGGATTAAGGGGTAGATGTTAAAGGGGATGCGGCTAAGTTTAAATAATCGAAACTGCCCAGGATGGCAGTGCCTCAAGTGTGGTGAGGTCTCCTCTGCTGAAATATCGATTCATAGACTCCGATGACCATTTATCAGGAATATTAGAGCAGTAACTGCAGCTGTTTTCTTCTTAACTTGTAAAATGGGGATATTAATTAATCCCAATTTATCAACTCACAGGTGAGGGATTTGATCCAACTAAACCTGAAGAGACTCTTTTGGAGTTTTTAGGCAGCTATAAAGCTCTAGTCTCAGTGGTTTTCACACTTTGCTGCAGACTAGAATTACCTTGGGAGCTTTGAAAAAAATCTGTATGCCTAGGCCACACCTGCAGAGATTCTAATTTAATTGGTGTGGGCTAGAGCATTAGGATTTTTTCAAAGCTTTCCAAGTGATTCTAATGTATAGCGATTTTGAGAACCACTGAACCAGTTAGAGTCAAGGTTCTAGATTCTAGTTTGAAATTTGATTTGATTAAAATTTTTGTAATGTTAAACAACTCCTTTAACTTCTCTTGGTTCTATATTTCTTATTTACTAGGAAGGGGAGGACATATATATTTCTAAAGCACCTTCCTTTAAAATTTTATTACTCTAGGTCAGCTGACCCTTAAAGGTTTAAGAATTTAATAAAAGGCACTTAACCGCCCTCTAGAAATAGAAGAGGATCTCTGTTTGGAGACATGGGAATTATTTACACTCTTTTTCTCAGTTTTAATGGCAGCCGTAGACTCCCCTCAATGTGGACATGTTTATATCTCTCAGAGGAATGTGTGGCACCAACAGCATTCAGATGGCTAGTTGTTTCAGCAGTCTTCTGCTTAAAATAGGCATACGCCCTAATTTCACCAAAATTGGTAGAGGCTATAAGTGGGTTTCTTTGCTCTTCTCCATGATTCCAGAAGCTGCCTTGTTACCAGCCCTGGGTCATCTGATGGGTGACTGGACATTTTTCTGGGTGTTTTGTGTACTCTTTTGGGCTTGCTGTCTTACATACTGCTTAGTGACTTGCTCACCAATTTTCCTAGCCTAACCCAGGACACCCATGTTTCTTTTGGTCCTAACTTTAGTTCTACCCAAATGAGACTGCATGTCTCGTCGTCACTCTGGTCATGCAACAATTGACCCCAGACAGGCGGTGATGGACACAGGACTCCAGTTTTCTTTTTTCATACAAGGAAATTTAAGGGGGACTCCAGTTATTAGGTTTTCTCTAAGATTTTGCTTGTATTTCAGATAATTTATATTTGCATGTGAAGTTTTATTTGTCACAAAAAGTGCACAAACATAATTATTGAAATGTGAACACTCAGGAAGCATAAAACATCAAAATTTTATGTTGAGAATATGATCCAGTGATCTTATAAGTGTGAAACATCTTACTTCTAAGAGAGAAGATACTTTGGGGAGGATGGTCTCCTACAGTTTCTTTAATATTTCACGAATTACTAGGTTTTTTTTTTTTTTTTAAATATGGTTTTCCAAAGACCTGCTACTATGTATTCATTTCAAGATAAGTCACCCAGTTAAAATACAAAGCAATCCTTTTGGAAGAAATTTTGGACACTTTGGATTACTTGTGTGAGAGAGAAAAATGTTCTTTCTTTCTATTCTGGAGGTCAGACTGGACACGATTACTCTAATGTTTACGTAAATGCTATTAGTGCTGTACAGAAGTGGGAACGAACTGTTTTTTAATTTTTAAATCAGGGAGGGCAAGAAAGCATGAATAAGGATCACAGGGCACCATGTTAATGACAAATCACAGGAGGTGGTTCCACAAAGGTTGTGAAAACTAGTTTCTCATTGCAGGAATTGGGTTGGGCCACCCCTTCACCCTCCTTCTCAAACACAAATATTTTCATATAATAAAAGCCTGTTTCCCTATGGTTATAGCCCAGCCTCCATTCCTCCGACACCACCATTTTAAAGGGGTTTACTGCGGGGACTTCTCCAAAGGCTCTAGATTTTCTCTTTTTCTGGACCTTGTCTTGTAGAGGTGAGACGTCCCTTTGGGGGTTCACGCAGGGTGAGGGGGACAAGAAACACCCACTAGGACCCACCCCCGGCAGCCAGCGGCTCGAGCATGCGCTGAGAGTTTGTGCAGCTGGCTCTGGCTGCCGCCGCTGCCTCGTCCGGACTTGGCGAGGACTTGGGAGGGACAGCGGCGCTGGGAGGTGGCTTAGCAGAGACTTTCCAGCAACTGCTGCCCAGGACTCTTTTTTTTTTTTTTTCTCTCTTTTTCCCAGGGGGCGGCGGCGGCGGCGGCGG